GAAACGTTTGTGTGAGATGGGCACCACAATAACTCATGGAAGAACATAAACAGGAAGCATTTGGACATCTGCAAACAAAATTTGGACCGATACTCAGAGGAAGGTTAAAGTCTCTTTTAGAAAATCATTGCGGGTGATGAGACAAGGATTCATCTATAGATGTCTGCGAGTAAACAACAGAATATGGAACGGAATCATCCTCAATTGCCAACCAAGAAAAGGTTAAAAAGTTACCCATCAGCTGAGAAATTGATGCTTACAGTTTTCTGGGATTTTCAAGGACCAGTGTTGGAACAGTGTCAGGAAAAAGGTTTAATAACCAACATTGTTCATTATAGTGAGATGCTTACTGAAGAACTGAAGCCTAAACTTCTGATTAAATACAGAGGACTGATGTGTTTGAACCAAGGTGTTGTGATCTCGCATGACAACTCATGTCCGAACATCTCTTTCCACACTGTTGACACTGCAAAAACTTCGTTTTTAGGTGTTAAAGCATACTGCAAAATCTTTGTTTTGAAGTGTTAAAGCATCCTCCCTATAGTCCTGATCTTGCTCCATCGGACTTTCACCTGTTTGGTCCCCTGAAAGCAGCCCTTCAAGGACAAAGATTCACCTCTGATGAAGTTAAGACAGCTGTGCATTTGTGATTCACAGCTCAGTCTAAAAAAAATTAATTAGGAAATAAGAAGGCTTGTTGACAGATGGACAAAGTATTGAAAAGCAATGCATTTGTCTTTTCTAAAACTTGATTGTAATAAATTCTATAGCCAGAGTGCAAATAATTTTTGACTCGTCCTCGTAGTTCGTTCCAAACAACTTAATTATGTCCTAACAATTTATAACTGCTTAAAAAACAAATATATATACACTTTGAATGTTGTTATTTCATTTTTAAATGCAACTACTAAATGGGATGTTGTCCTTTTGGCCATTGCAAACCTCAAGCTTTGCAATCAAATTTGACCCCTTATTTCCTACTCTACATTGAATACACATATTCACCACCACCACCAAAAAGAACAGGTCTGCAAAGATAAGTCATTGAAAGGAATGAAGTGAGGTGCAATGTTGAGGCTGTGAGGGGTCTGACAGGTGTCAATTATTAACTGCGTTTCCCTAGAAAGTTTTGATTACCCTTGCTACCTCACACACCTGCTGTGTAGCCTGGGAACTGCAGTTCTGTTTACTATGGTGTCTGTTCCTAAATTGTTATGACAAGATTTAGCCAGATACACCTTTTCTCTTTGGAGTCCTAGTGTG